AGTCATTCGTGTCATGCATATTTTTTTCCTTTGAAATATTAAGAATACCCGGCTAAATAATGATCTCTATCCGTTATATTTATTTTTACTACACAGCTTTACAAATATTTATTTAAAGATGTTAAAAAATATAATAAAAATCACTTAATTTAATTTTTGTATACCTATAAAAGTGATGAAAATTACTTCTCGACATGAACGACCCATCATGTGTAGTAAAGAATCGTAAAATCATTATCTATATTAAAAAAGTCAATTTTATTTAATTTTAAAATTATTTAAAAACAGTTTTGCTTTGCGCGCAATCGCATAATTGTTTCTCTATTATTTCTTCGATGCATTTCTTCATGCACATATATATATTTTATTTTGTCGATATTTATAAAAGAATTCTCTATTCTCTCTCGAACACATTGCCATTTTCGAATACGGAACTATACGAACTATCTTGAAACCTAATACAGCACGATTCTTAAGCGCATACGGTCGAGCTACTTGCTGGGCTCCTAATGACACGTCGCGTGTTCGATAATTAATAATTAACTTCGCCTCTCCTCTCCCTATCCTTTTTCTCTCCCTTTCATTTGCGTCCTCCTCCCTCTCGCTCGCACGGAATTACGCGGGCGCTTGAAGAATTTCAATGGCTATCGACGATAACGCACACCATGCCGGCTCGTAATCATATAATTCTAACTATGCGATTACGGGCGCCGCGCGGCCGTAAATGAGGCGGCCAGCTCCGGCCAGTAAAGTTTTAGCCGCGCTAATAACGCAGCCCTTACCATAAATACCCTCCAGGCGCGCAATTGCAATGAAGTCGTTCGTTCGTACGCTCGCGAACACGGTCGGGCCGTAAATATTGTCTCGAATGGACAGAAGCCCATGATAATCCCTGCAATAAATAGTCGCTTACAGCCGCGTCTTAGAGCGCGGCAACGAATGGTCGAAAACGCACCTCCACCGTTTTCTTTTTCTCCTCATTGTTCTTCCCGCTTTCTTCCTATTAGATTGTAATTATCATTTGTCCATTAATATCCGTTTATTTGATACAACGCGCGAATTGCAACAAAGTTTCATCCCTAATCGCGGCAGGGAAAAATCGTAGAAATATTTTGTTGTAAAATCGCGATTAATGGCTGCGTTCGGAATGTTAAACAATAAATGTTAAACAAGGACAGATGATGAATCCGAGGCATCGGAGGACGTTTCCGAACGCAGCCAATGTACAGTGATGTTGAAGTATCTACTTGCGTAATATAACGGCAGTGCTGCTGAAATGTATTTGCAAGGATAACGTGATGTACGTACATTGCTGCAAAGTCGCGGTAATGTCGCATAATGTAATATCTTCTAATGTGTTTTTTTTTTATATGTTTGTTATTGCGATATTACTGCAACCTGCTCTACTATATTTCCCCCGGGAATCAGGAAGTAGTTAAACGCAATGCCGCCTTCGGTGAAGTTTTTTTTAATTACGATACAATCTCCGAGTGCAACCACCCGCTGTTACCGCGAAGTTGAATCGACTGACATTAAGAAGACGGATATTAAGTTCTGAATTCCGGCAGACTCTCTTTTATCCGGGGGATGCGACACACCCATTAACGCAGATGCATTTATATGTCGTTGGCCATGATCGACATCACCGTTAGCTTCCGGTCTGACAAAAACTGACAACGTGACGATGTTTTGGTTCCCGCCGTTACGAATTGACACCTTTAACCGGCGGGCGATTTTTCACGGGAACCCTTAATAATCTCACATTAACTTTTCGGTAGTCCGTCGCCCACGACCCTCGTAATAAGCCTAACTGGGCGCAACAATATAATTTATAGAGCTGCTTCTTTTTACGGCTAATTATGGCGAATTACGGTCGTACGATAGAGGGCCCATTAAACCGTTGGTCCTGATTAAGAAGAAGAAATGCGCGGGCGAAGCAAAGACGATGTGCGCTTTATCTCCAATTCGCGTGAAATATCCTTCGTGATGTCGCTCTATACCGGGTGTCTCGCGACGTCTGCGTGTTCTGAATTTTAATTCTGTCAGAATTTTTTAAACTTTTTTTAACGATTAAACTTCCTTGCAAGATTATAGGGGAATAACAAATAAATGTATTAATAAAAAATTTGTCTTTGACAAATGATTGAATCTTACGAATTGAGATTAAATCTTTATTTCGCAGCAATGGAAATAATAAATTTTAATCTACTTGACAAACTATAGAGTTTTTGATATATTTTCATGTGAAACATTTTCGAAGTATTTAATTAAGAGACGAATACATTCACTCGTACTTCAATCTGTGAAGCGAGACTGTCACAGCAGCAGTAGCAGCATTCGGCCACTCGGTTAATGGCACGTGGAGTCCTTTAATCGATAGAAAGGAGCGCGTGTCGGTTAGGTACTCGCACCCTACGATAACGCGCCGTATTTCACGAACGTACCAGCGCCTGATGTATAATAAAAGAAGATGAAAATCAAGAGAAATAAAAGAGGACGGAAGAATACGAAAATAGAGGATAAAAGGAGCTGAGGAAGATGGAGATGAGAAAGAGTATACAGAACAAGATGGAGGAAGTACAGAAGAGAGAACATGGACGGAAGAATACGAAAATAGAGGATAAAAGGAGCTGAGGAAGATGGAGATGAGAAAGAGTATGCAGAACAAGATGGAGGAAGTACAGAAGAGAGAACGACGATTGAAAGATACGCAGCATGAAGTAGAAAGAGGAGAAAACTGGAGAAGAGAAGCAGATCGGCAAGAGAAGACGAAGAGAAAAGGAAAAGAAATGATGACGGGGTAGATGCAGAGGCAAGATGAAAAAAGAAAAGGAAGATAGTGCGGTTGACGAAGAAGGAAGCAGGAGTAAGGCGGTG